ACACTTCTTTAGCATTGTAAACATCATTGAGTTGATATTATTCAAAAAAAAATACTATAAACTAGTTTCGTTATAAAATAAAAAATTCAAAATGATAAGAATTTTCGGGAACTTAAAAAGTAGACTTCTGGCGAATTTTTATCGCAACGAAAACACAAAACTCTGAAAAATAAATGAGGGTTTTGAATTTAAACGGCGTTTGTATTCAAGTGAGATATTTCAAATGAAATTTTATAATATGAATGGACCAACATTTATACTTTGTTAAATTTTAAAAATAAAACAAACTAAACATGATAATTTTTAATTTCCATTCACAGGGAAGAAATTATAGTTTGATGAAGATGCTTAAAAAGTTTAATTTTTGTTGTCGATTATTTTCATACTATTTCGAAATTTTATTCGAATTAATTTAAAAACTAGCGCAATTGAAACTATTTATTGGTTTAAATACAAATATACTCTTCTTTTATTAAAACATGAGTATATATTCAAAGTGATTCGGATTTTTTCTCATTGCCAAAACTTTTCTACTTAAATATTTTTAAATGGTTGAATAATAAATTGAATTGTTTATTTCTTACAATATGAAAAAATAGAGGGATGCTAGAGAAAGGAGGATGCTCGTTACTATTGGTTATTTGCAATACTAATTAACCAATAAAATTTATAAAAACCAAAATAAATTTATTTTTAGATTAGCATCCTACTTTTTTTCAGCATCCCCTTATTTCCTCCTACTGTAATAGATTGGTGGGTTGACAAAGTTTAGAAGTTACATTTTGTTGGTTTTAATTCAATATAATTAATGGAATTTTTGTTATTGTTTTAAAAGTTTAATACACGTTGATTACAAATACATTATTTCAATATTTCATTATGTATTTGTTTTGGTGATTGAGTTTATTGTGAAATAACTCTAAAAACGTGATATACTTGATCAGTTATGTTCGTTATTAAACACACTAATGAAAAGTATTTTATTTGAGTGTTTGGTCAAGTTGATTATGATTAACAAATCACTCATTTGTAATAGACAAACGTTTAATTTGAATAGAACTAAAATAACAAACTCTTTGCCAAAACCAACGAATTCGCTTGACATCTTTTTTATACAATATAACAAAAATTAGAAAACCCGTTATACAACAAAAAATGTTCTATCATTTTTTTTAAAAACAAAGAAACACAAAAATTTGCAGACAAACTTTTTTGTAAATTAATTAATCTTTTTAATATAAAAAGAGTATTTTAAAAATGGTTCTGTTTAAAATTAAACAATAAATTCGAGAATATTAAACATTAAAAGCTTCTGATAATGACTGTATTATGACTCAGACACATTTATGAATTAGAGTAGTTTGTTGTTGTTTCTTTTTTTTTACTTTTCATTTAATTTGTTAAATCCCAGTTTTATTTCGCTTGGAACAAAAATAATGTTTTACCCACAATAAAAACAAAAAAACATTATATATAACGATTGGCTATAATTGTTATTACATGTTTTTTTAATTATTTTTGGAATATCAAAAACAATTGTGCCGTTTTACCTTGGTAAAATAGACCGAGTTGAGCAAAAGCAATTTATAATTTAACAAACATTAAATCTTGCTTTGAGATTATTTTAGTTGTTTTACAAACCACAAATCGATTTTAATTTTAAATTAGTACAATTTAATAAATGTCATTTTTTATTTTTTTTATAAATCCATTTAATTATAAATCTTGGCACCTCAAGTGGTAATAATTTGGTAAATATTAGAAAACAATGGCAAAAAAACTTAAAATGATTATTTATTTATAATTTATTATAAAATATTAGAACATAATATCTTTCGTATAAATTAATTAATTTAGTAAGGGCAACAATTTATTAAAGTGTTTTTTTGAAAGAAAATTTTCGTTAAAAAAAGATTACAATAAATAATTGGTTGTTTTGTCAAAAAATCTCGTTTTTATTTTTGTGTAGACATTTATAAAAACTATAAAAATAAAAAGTACAACTTATAACATTTTATTTTTTTAACAATATTTAAATTTCGAGTAATAAAAAAATAACATGAAAAGATTCAAAACAAACCCAACAAGTAAAAACGATTTAAATGATTCTTAAAGCAAAACGTTAATTTGTTATAATTATTTTATTTAAATTTTTGTGTAGTAAAATAGTTAATGACAATACTAGAAATATCATATAAATTAATTGTATACATTTAAAAATTGTTGAATATTAACTATAGAAAACACGGAAATTAGGTGTTAAAGAATAATAAAATGTGATATTTATTAAATAATGATAAATAGATTTTATTTTAGTCATTCTCTAAACGTTGTCCTTTCTTCAAAAGTTGTCCCTTTGCAAAAAAATACACAAAAAATTCTATAAAAAAATGGGAATTAGGTAATAAATCATAAAAACGGTAAAATATTCCCGAATATTAAGAATAAAAATACACATAACGAGTAAGTTATTATTTGTTAAAAATACTTAATATGTTACTATATTTAAACTATTATATAACTACATTTTAATCTATTTTTATTTAGGAACTTTTCACAATAAGGAAATTATTTTTAACATAATTATGTATATTTAAATAACGGGCAAAAAATGATATCATGCAATTAGATTATATCGACAAAAGAGATCCAAAAGCAAGAAACGACTATCATGAAAATGCACCATTATCCATGCAAGGGCAACCCGTACAACCAGTAATGTTGCCCCATCAAGATATCCCACCACTTCAAAAAAGATCACGGGGTCGGCCCCGAAAATTGGATTCAAAAAAGAAGAAAACAAATACATAACCTTATTTTCACTTAACAATTGACCAAAGTTGTTTGGTTGAAAGATGGAGTAAAATGGTGATAACATGAATGCTTCACGATATTCAGAAATAATTGGGATTAAAAAAATAAACATTGAAAAGTATCTTTCAATGTTAAGAAAAGGGATATCAATATATCCAAAAAATAGTCATCGAAGACAAAGCCGTTCTTTACCTTTTCAAAAATTGGTAGAAAAAGCTATTGAAGAAGACACAACAACAAAAATAATTTCAATTTAAAAAAATATAGCACAAGAAGAAAAATTACATGAAGAAGAAGATGTTGATGAAATAATTTTGGATATTCCAAAAATATCCAAGGTTGTTGTTACTAAAGAGGAAGTTGATCTTTATGCACCTTCTATATTATCAATTAAAAATTTCATGACTGGTAAAACAGCAACAGGTGAAGAGAGAGAAGTCCTCATCTTTTCTTTCAGAAGGACAAAGACAAGAGGGCCAACAAGCAACACGCCAGATAATAAAGAAAAAAGAATTGCAGCAGTAAACGCTCTAAGGGGTTATATAACAAGTGAAGCACGTTGGGTTTGTATAAATGAAACCAGTTGGACTGTAGCATCAACTCCTGCATATGACTGGTCAGTTAGAGGCAAAAAAGCCTTCATCACCAAATCAAAAGGTGGTCTTCGCCTCACTTTCATATGCACAGTTGATTGTAATGGACTCTCTTATTGCAATGTGGGTTGTGGAACAAACACATTGAATTCTTTTGAAGACTACTTCCGGTACCTAATTCATGAGTATGATATAAAACATAGACAGTGTGTTTTTTGTGGATATATGTGATATTCACAACATTATGAGAAGAATGCTAGATAATAATAACAACATTGTCATATTTAATGCTGCGTACTCACCAGCACCAAACCCAATTGAAAATATATTTGGGGTCTGGAAAAGTAGGGTTGAAAAAAATGTGAGAACTTGGAATGGAATAAGAAAGTTTTGTTGAAAAAAACAGAGATGTTTTTTTTCATTATTAAACCTGAAGAGTGCCAAAGTTGTTTTGAAAATGTTAGGGAAATTTGTGGCCCCGAGTTTACAACCAAGAAAATATTTAATCAAATGTTTTTAAACAATATTCACGTTTTTTATTTTTCCTAAAAAACAAAAATCGAAAGTACAGACTTAATTTTGAAAAATACCAATCCCGTTCTATTATTTTCGTATAATATCGGGAATTTATCGAAATATTAACCAGCCTTTCCAAAAAATAAATACCGTTATTTGATTTACATAAATTGGATATTTGACTGGACAACACACATAGTATTGTAGTGCTAATTACACAACAACAAACATCTCAGTAAATTGGGTCCGAATTGTTTGTGTCAATATAATGCTAAAAATTAGTTTCGTTAAAAATTATTTTCAATTAAAAACAAACTTGTGGTTTTTTTTCTCAATTCATGAAAAAATACAATTATTAATTCTAAAAATTAAAATAATTAATTAAAGCAAATGTTCCATATTTTTTCTTGATTTTAGATGCACAATCTAAATCGTTTTGGAATTGAATTGATATAATTGTTTATTGTTTCCAATGATATTAATTTCCACACTTCGGTGAGTGCTTGCTTCAATTCTTCAACATTCATTAAGATGTTTTTCACCCTTTTAATAAGAGTATCAAGACAATGTCACATACGTTCAATCGGACTAAGATCCAGACTGTTTGCAGGGCATTAGTCAAGAACCCCAACTATTAATAACGAGTCAATATTATGAAACCATTTTATGGTTGAACGAGCTGTATGCGGCCGTGCACCGTCTTGCTAACACGTCGTTACGTGTTTATAAATTTCAATTTTATAAATTGAAATGCTGAAAAAATCAAACGTTTTGATTTTTTCAGCATTTCAATATAAGATTCCAAATCAACTTTTCCAGTTAAAAAATC